CCTGTTGAAATTAGCATACAATCATTTCAGCCTTTCTAAATAAAAATTTTTTAAAACCTTCACTGATTCCTGTGTTTGAGTGGGTCTGACTGGACAGAAATAACCCCAGAAAGATTGTTAAATGGCTTTCCCCATTTAGCTTGGCACTTTACTTCCTGGTGAAATTGTCTAACCCAGGCAAGTATCATTCAAGGAGCCTCCCTGGATCTTTACTTCCTGTCTGCATTTGGGTGAGGAGTTCTGCATGAGAGTTTACTGAGTTTGAGTAACTCCTTTAACTGTTTAAAACCTTAAGATTTTGGATACTAGGAGGCAGTGGCTCATCAGTTAAGAATAGAAAAATTGGCTGTCAACTTTTGGTATCTTGTTGCCCCCATCCTTCACATTAATCTCTAAAATGATTTCTGTGGAGTTTTTAACAGCCCTGGGCCTACAACCAGAACTTCAGAAAGGAACTGCATTAGTACCCTCTTGGGATATGTCATTTCAGTCCTGTACAACCCATTGTGACCCAATAGGCTGTATCCCACCAGGCTTCTCTGTCTACAGAATTCTGGCAAGAATAATGTACTGCTTGGTCAGTCATGTCCAACTCTGTGACCCCAAGGACCGCAGCACACTAGGCTTCCCTGTCCTGCATCTCCTAGACCTTACTCAAGCTCAGGTCTGATGCTGTCCAACCAGGTGGTCTCAGATAATGACCACTTTTATATTTCTCAATAGAAGGAGAAAATGGATGAACTAGAATGTTATCTCTTATTAAATTTTCATATGTTTAGAATATGGTTGTGTCAGGACTAGTAAAGTAAAAGGCAATATAGGGGCTTTTCTGGTGGTTGTCTTTTGCATTTTCATACTGTTCATGGGGTTCCCAAGGCAAGAAGACTAAAGTGGTTTGCCATTCCCTTCACCCTTGGGCTGCAAGGAAGTCATACCAGCCAATCCTAAAAATCTGTCCTGAATTCATTAGAAGGACTGTTGAAGCTGAAGTTCCAATGCTTTGGTCACCTGATATGGAGAGCTGACTCACTGGGAGAGACCCTGATTGATGCTGGGAAAAATTGAAGAAGGAGATGACAGAGGATGAGATGGATGGCATCACTGACTCAATGGACATGAGTTTGAGCAAGCTCTGGGAGTTGGTGATGGACAGGGAAGCCTGACATGCTGCAGTACATGGGGTTGCAAAGAATGGGACAACTGAGCGACTAAAGTGAACTGGTAGTCTAGTGGCTAAGATATATGTATACACACAATGGAATATTAGCCCAAAAAAATTGAGTCACTTGTGAGGTGGAAGAACCTAATAGGCTTCTCTGTTGGCTGAGATGGTAAAGAGTCCGCCTGCAATGCAGGAGACTCGGGTTCGATCCCTGGGTTGGGAAAATACACTGGGGAAGGGAATGGCAACCCACTCCAGTATTCTTGTCTGGAGAGTCCCATGGACAGAAACCTGGTGGGCTCGAGGAGGAGGGGATATATGTATACTTAGAGCTGATTCACATTGATGTACAGCAACACAACAGTACAAAGCAAATATCCTTCAATTATAAAAAGAATCCACACTTCCCACTGCAGGATGCATGGGTTTGATCCCTGGTTGGGGAATTAAGATCCCACATGCTGCATGGTGTAACAAAGAACAAAAGGGGGATGTAAATTGAGGGGAATTGTTATATCAGTTTCATGAAAATAAAACATTAAATTACAAAATTTAAGTGTACCCACATGGAAAGAATATTCTCTTGGCCTTGCCTCTCCCTTCCCTCTCCATGACTTCCACTTCTCTCCATCTCTGCCACCACAGCTACCCACCCCCAACCCCTAAGCCACATTCATTTCTTGCCTGGAGGATCACAGGAGCCTTCTCTTCCTTTTCCCCGTAGACCTTAAACTTAATGAAGGCAGAGTCCATGTCTGACATTGCTTATCACTGTGGGGGTGTCTGCTCAAAGAGCATAAACAAATGGACAAATGGCCTCCCAGGAAGCACATGTTTCCAGGTTCAGGTGGGGCCCTCACTATCAGCCCCCAGTACCCAAGAAACAACAGGCAGGAGTCAGAATAGATGCGAGTGACAGAGCTATTCCCTCTTAACCTTTAATTCAGAGGAGGAACAGGGCTACTGCCAACCTGACAGCTGAGACCTGCCAGGGAAAAGCCCCCAGAGACCTGTGCTTGGGATGTTTGACTGCAGCCTTCATGGACGGACTGAAGCTTATTTGGCTAGGGAGCTATGATCTGCCCCCAGGTTGCTGCTGCTGCTGCTAAGTCACTTCAGTCGGGTCCGATTCTGTGCGACCCCATAGACAGCAGCCCACCAGGCTCCCCCATCCCTGGGATTCTCCACACAAGAACACTGGAGTGGGTTGCTATTTCCTTCTCCAAGCTTGAAAGTGAAAAGTGAAAGTGAAGTCTCGCTCAGTGGTATCCAACTCCTATCGACCTCATGGACTGCAGCCTACCAGGCTCCTCCATCCATGGGATTTGCCAGGCAAGAGTACTGGAGTGGGGTGCCATTGCCTTCTCCAGCCCCAGGTTGGATCTTGCAGAATTTAGAGAAGGTTGGGATTGAAAAAAACTAAAGGGGCTTTCCTGGGGGTCCAGTGGCTAAAACTGAGAGCTCCCAATGTTGGAGCCTTGGGTTCGATTCCTGGTCAAGAAACTAGATCCCACATGCTGCAACTAAGAGTTTACATGCCACAACTAAAACCCAGCACAGCCAAATAAATATTAAAGAAAAGAAACTGATTTTTTTTCTAAATATTTGGCTGCATCAGGTCTTAGTTGCAGCACCTGAACTCTTATTTTCAGCATGTGGAATCTAGTTCCCCGCACAGAGATCAAACCCGGGCCCCCTGCATCAAGAGCCAAGTCTTAGCCACTAGACTATCAGGTAAGTCCCCAAAGAAACTGAATTTTGCTTTTGCCTTTGTATTAGTTGTTTTTTGGTTTTTGGGNTTTTTTTTTTTTTTTTTTTTTTTTGCTACTGTAATAAGTTGCCACTCTAGTGGCAGAAAGTGAAAAGGAACTAAAAAGCTTCTTAATGAGGGTGAAGGAGGAGAGTGAAAAAAACTGGCTTGAAACTCAACAATAAAGAAACTAAGATCACGGAATCCAGTCCCATTACTTCATGGAAAATAGAAGGGGAAATGTGGAAACAATGACAGATTTTATTTTCTTGGGCTCCAAAATCACTGTTGATAGTGACTTGCAGTCATGAAATTATGACATTCGCTCCTTGGAAGGAAAGCTATGACAAACCCAGAAGTGTTAGTTGCTCAGTCATGCCTGACTCTTTGTGACCACATTGAGTAGCCTGCCAGGCTCCTCTGTCCATGGGGTTGTCCAGGCAAGGATATTGGAGTGAGTAGCCATCCCTTCTCCAGGGCATATTCCTGTCCCAGGGATCAAACCTGGGTCTCCTGCACTGCAGGCAGATTCTTTACCATCTGAGCCATAGGGAAGCCCCTGACAAAATTAGACAGCGCATTAAAAATCAGAGACATCACTTTGCTGGCAAAGGTCTATATAGTCAAAGCTATGGTTTTCCTGGTAGTGAGAGTTGAACCACAAAGAAGGCTAAACGCTGAAAAATTGATGCTTTTGAATTTGGTGCTGGAGAAGACTCTGAGAGTCCCTTGGACTGCAAGCAGATCAAACCAGTCAATCCTAAGGGAAATCAACCATGAATATTCATTGGAAAGAATGATGGTGAAGTGAAGCTCCAATACTTTGGCCACCAGATTCCAAGAGCTCACTCAGGGGAAAAGACCCTGATGCTTGGGAAGACTGAAAGCAAAAGGATAATGGGGTGCACAGAGTGAGATGGTTAGATAGCATCATTGACTCAATGAACATGAATTTGAGCAAACTCCAGGAGATAGTGAAGGGAAGGAGATCCTGGCATGCTGCAGTCATGGGGTCGCAGAGTCAGATGTGACTTAGTGACTGAACCACAAACTTGATGGCTTCAAACAAAGCAAATATATTATCTTACAGTTTGGGAGGTCAGAAATCTGAAATGGGTCTCAACGGGCTAAAATCAAAGAATGCTAACAGGGCTGCTTTTCTTTCTGTAGGCTCCGAAGGAGAATCTGTTTCTCTGCCTTGGCTAGATTCTTGAGGCCACCGCCACTGCTTGGCTGACAACCCTCTTCCATCTTCAAAGCCAGTGATGGTTTATCAAATCTTTCTGATGCTGCATCAATCTGACACTGAGTCTCCTGTCTCCCTTTGTGATCTTTGTGATTATGTACATGGAGCACATCAGATAATCCAGAATGCAGATGCAAATGCTAAATTGCTCAGTCCTGATTTTTTAGCGACCAGGCCCCTCTATCCATGGGATTCTCTAGGGAAGAGTATTGGAGTGGGTCCAGGGGATCTTCCCTACCAGGGGGGTTGAACCCTCATCTCTTATGACGCCTGCACTGACAGGCAGGGTCTTTACTACTATTGCTACCTGAGAAGCTCAGTCCAGAATGATCTCTCCTCAAAACTATTAATTTAATCATATATGTGAATTACCTTTTGTCTGCCATGTAAGGTAACATAATGAGAAGTTTTAAGAATTAGGACATGAGCATGCAGAGGCATTATTCTGTCTACCACATTCCCTTAGTTCGGCTTCTCCCTAGAGGTTCTGGATTTATCGGTGAAGCCTGTAGAAATTGCTTCTGTTTATTAACAGGTACACAGTGTGAGAAACCGCAGTCTCTAAAGTCATAGATGATCAGACTTTGCTAGTTGTAATCATATCAGTGAAAATAGAACGTCCTACTCTTGCTGGAAGGATCTCAACCAAGGCATGGAATGTGTGTGTGTGTGTGTGTCTGTGTGTCTGTGTGTCTGTGTGCTCAGTCGTGTCCGAGACTCGTAGCCTCTTGGCAACCCACGATTGGTAGCCCGCCAGGCTCCAGAGACACGGCCTCTAATTCCAACCCAGATGTAGAGCTCAGTTAAGGAGGTTTCAGATAGAACGTTCTGTGTTCACACTAACACAGTTTCCAAGGAAACAGGACTTCAAGTCCCTTCTCAGCAAGAGCCTGACATTAATACCTCTCATACAGCTGGGCTTTGCTCTGAGCTCCAAAGAACCGGTTCTGTTAAATTTGACCTGCATTGCCTCATCCCCTCTCCCACCGGTGGTTCCTGGGTTTAGGAATCAGGAGGCTCCGAAACGCTTTTCTGAGGCCGCTTTTTCCCCCGCTGTGGGGCCAACGGTGGGTAGTGGATGGTACAAACGGCAAGATGTAAGTGGGGTGGGGGCGGATGTTACAGTAAATCAGGGAGCGGGGAGGAGCAGATTCCAGCCTGGAGCCCCGTTATGCGAGGGGAAGACAGTCCTAAAGGCCAACTTCCACTGTCACCTCTGGACCGAGAGCAGCATGTCCTCAGTTCTCACAAGCACCCCATAAGCGCGGGTTATTATTCCTCCATTTAACAGAGGAGAAGACAGGAGCCTAAGCAACAAGCTTTGCGTGCATGCCGTGCGTGTTAAGTCCCAAAAGTGGTGTTCGGCTCTGCGAACGTAACCCACCAGGCTCCTCTGTCCATGAGATTCTCCAGGTAAGAATATTGGAGGGGGTGGTGCCCTCCTCCAGGGGATCTTCCCGACCCAGGGATCGAAGCAGCCTCTCTTATGTCTCCTGCTTTGGCAGCGGGATTCTTTACCACTAGTGCCACCTGGGAAGCACAAGCAACATGCCTCGTGGCATCAAATCAGGAACTGGCGGACAGGGGTCCCAACTCGGTTCTTTGGACACCAAAGTCAGCGCTCAGGAACGGCGGGCCTTTCCAAGTAAATGTCCGAAAGAGGGGCGCCGCCCTGCGTCCGCTTCAACAGACTGACGACCACCACAGCTCTGCTGCCCCTTCAGGCGGGGAGAGATTGCCAGTCTCCGACGGTAAGACATCAGGCGGCCATAGAAATCACGTCTACTATGGGGACCAATCCCAGAAAGCGAAAAAGCAGCGGGGCGGGTTTATGCAAAGTACATAGGGAGTTAGCCGGAAGGAGAAGCAGTAAACGACACAATTTGAGGTCTATTTACAAATTTTAGTTATTATTATGAATCATAAATGATGAAAAGTTGGCTTTAAGCAAGACTGCACTTTGAGAAGGCTCTAATGATTAGGCCATAAGAGTCGCCACAATCGTGAAAGCTAAACTAAGAGTAAGGCTGGCCCGGAGAGACGCTTGTGGTTATCGCTTCTCGGCCTTTTGGCTAAGATCAAGTGTAGTATCTGTTCTTATCAGTTTAATATCTGATACGTCCTCTATCCGAGGACAATATATTAAATGGATTTTTGGGATTAGGAGTTGGAATAGGAGCTTGCTCCGTCCACTCCACGCATCGACCTGGTATTGCAGTACTTCCAGGAACGGTGCACCCCCTTCGGGGGGATAAAGCATTGTTTCAAAGAAAGAGTCGATATGATCTTGATGTAGTTGAAGTAACTCGCACTTAACCTGCTTCAACAGTTATTCTACTAACTTAAAGTTTTTGTAGTAGCATTTATGGGGTTCACGGAAGTTTTTTTTTAAACAGAAAGAGGTAAGCTATTTTTCAGTTTATGTTTCCTTAGCGAATTACATATAACAGGTAGCAGAAATTATACATTCCGTTGAATTTTAATGCTGTGTTGGTTTCTACTGTGCAGTTTTTGTCCCGACGATTTAACTTTCAGCAGAAACAGACAAGAATGAAGGGAGTTTCTTTAAAAGTTGACAATTACTGCTTGGGTCGAAACCGGTGGATCACGATGACATGTTTAAAGTGTTGTTTTTTTTTTTTTTCAGTGTTTCGGACACTTTGCTAAGTAAACAGTAGTTTATACTTTCTGTAACTTTGTAATTTACTTGAACGCTCTGTAAGGATTCTCGTACATGTAACATAATGGTAGTAGTTTGGGTAGTTGTGACGCGGTCGGGGCTTTCTAAGAGGTTCAACAAGAGTAAGTCCCTGCCACATAGGATCGATTCCGCGAGGCGCGGAAGATCACCTGGAGGAGAATAGTTTACCACTCCAGTACTCCTGCCTGGAGAATCCCATGAACAGAGAAGCCTAGCGGAGTTATGGGGTCGCAAAGATTTAGATGCGATTGAGTAACTCGTACTTTTCATTTTCACTGGTATTCCTGCCTGAAGAATCGCTTTGGCAGACGAGCCTGGCTGGGTTTAAGTCCACAGAGTCGCCAAAGCCGTCGGGTCCGACTTAGCTACTAAATAGCTACAATTTTAAGAATGGTGACGTGCACGTAATTAGAGAAGTTATTTGCCGTAGGGAAGATATTGAGTAGTGCTTAGTAGTTTTCTTTATAACGGGTAAGTTTCCTGGTCTAGTTCCCTCATTTTGAAAACTCTGGGTGTGCACCTGGCCTTACGGTGAGGAAGACTTCCGAGCAGAGAAATAGTTGAACTTCTCATAAAGGGAAATCATAGTATTTCAGGGAGAGACCGTTCAGATTTACTTTGCCGATTTACTTGGCGGGGGGCGGGGCGGCAGTGGTGGTTGTGGTGTTTCCGTGGCCTAACCCCGCGGCTTGCCTGGAATTTTAAGCTCTGAAATTTATTGGCAGTTCTCCAACTAAGGTGGCAATCAAAACTGTTTCACTGTGGAGGACAGATCTGCCAGGCAAGTATGGGATGCTTTATTCTTACTGATACAATTTCAAACAGCAAAGTTTCTGATAAGACTTATTTCAGACAAGTCATTCTAAGAACGGGGCCGTTATGAGATTTTAAAGTTCGAGCTTATCTTTGGAAGAACTGTTTCTTTTAATTTTGTAGATCTTCATTGCCCATGGTGTCATTTTATACCATCAACAAATCTCAACGTGAGGAAATAAAAATAACGCCCCTACCGTCACTTTCCAAAACCGAGCTCGTCGGTTTCATTTCCCCCAACTTTGTTCATTTTGTCCTATTACGCTTGAAGGTGAAGCCATGCGCCTCATTAGTGATTTGAATCGTTCCTGAAATAAGCTGTTTTCTTCTCTTATACAGAAAATGTACATTGCTATAGAGCAGAGAAACAGACTAGGGCTGCCTGGATCCGATATTGTGATTCAGATCGTATGCCTTTTACTCCAAATGTAAAATGGTCAAGTTACTGTTCAGATCTCCACAAACAAGTCTCCAGATTCCATTTTTGTAAAAAGCAAAACCAGCTGGCGGGGAGAGTATTTTTTACTCTTCCGGTTCTTTAAAAGGAGTTCCTCCGTATCCGACTAGGCGCACGCTGGAGACGCAGGCGCTGCGCCGGAAGTGTGAACCTTGGGTTCCCGAGCTCCGCTATGGCGGCTGCGGCTGCACGCTGGAACCATGTGTGGGTTGGCACCGACACTGGCATCCTGAAAGGTGGGTAGCGGAGTCGGGCGTCGGGAACTGCGGGCGTCACCGTTTCGCGACTCTGATGCGAATGATGTCCGTGTCCCGCAGGAGTGAACCTTCAGCGCAAACAGGCAGCGAACTTCACGGCGTCAGGACAGCCGCGGCGCGAAGAGGCGGTGAGCGCCCTGTGTTGGGGTGCGGGCGGCGAGACACAGGTGAGCGACCGCTGACAGAGCTGGGAGTCTGGGGCGCGGCCGCCTCGCTCTCCTCGCCATCCTGTGCTCCTCTGCCCGCAGATCCTGGTGGGCTGTGCCGATGGGACAGTGAAGCACTTCAGCACCGAAGAAGGCAGGTTCCAGGGCCAGAGGCAGTGTCCTGGAGGGGAGGGCACGTTCCGAGGCCTCGCCCAGGTCGACGGGTAAGACCAAGCCCCTTGCAGAAACGCTCAGGTCGTAGCGAGAGTGTTGAGGCTCCTGCTGGACGACCGAGTGATGGCGTTCAACCCTGAGGTGATGTGAGCCTGGTCTGCGTGACAGGGACCTTTTTCCTGCCTTCATCCGTTCATTCCTATAACAGACATTTATGAAACACTTACTTGGTTGTTTGTAGGCACTGGGCGAAATGCAAAGGCTTAGGTAAACCAGACACAGTATCTGCCATCATAGAGTTTGCTTCTTCCAGAGTTTTGTTTTTTTTTGTTTTTGTTTTTGAATAATAACCTTTTGGATGACCCTGAGCACATTATTTAATAGTTTGAAAGTGAAAGAGTTAGTCGCTCAGTCGTATCCTACTCTGCAACCCTATGGACAGTAGCCCGCCGGACTCCTCTGTCCGGGATTTTCCAGGCAAGAATACTGGAGCGATTCGCCAGCGGATCGTCCCAAGTCTCCTGCACTGCAGGCGGTCTCCTGCATCGCAGGAGATTCTTTACCAACTGAGCCACTAGGGAAGTTTAGAATATGTTTTTAAATGGGGGCTAACAACCACCAACAAAGTGGTAAAGCTCCTAAAGTAAAGAATAGGAAATGCTGGGTTGCAGGCTTAGTTTTCTTCTGAAGGTGAAGAGAGAGGCTATGAGCTGACTGTGTAGGTTTGGTGACGTTAATTTTGACAGGTGAGTCTGGAAGGCTGGATCCAGTGAGAGGGGGTGGAGGAATATTTGAACTTGGCCTTGAAGGTTGGGTAGAATTTTGACAGGTGGGGAAAGGAGTAAGGGCATTTTAGAAGGAGGCTTCTGCTTGAGCAGAGGCCAAAGATTGGTGTGAGGCTACAGGGCACATCACAGGGAAGATAAACAGCATTTGGGGGTTGAAGAGAAGACTCTTGTGTCTCTTGGACTGCAGGGAGATCAAACCAATCAGTCTTAAGGGAAATCAGTCCTGAATATGCATTGGAAGGAGTGATGCTGAAGCTCCAATACTTTGGCCACCTGATACAAAGAACTGCTGGAAAAGATTGAAAGCAGGAAGAGAAGAGAATGACAGAGGATGAGATGGTTGGATGGCATCACCAATTCGATGGACAGGAGTTTGGGCAAGCTCCAGGAGTTGGTGATGGTCAGGGAAACCTGGCATACTGCAGTCCACAGGGTCGCAAAGAGTTGGACACAACTGAGCAACTGAACTGAACTGGGGGTTGAAGCCCAGGAGACTTTTTTTTTTTCCCTTTTTAAAAACTTATGAGGAAGAATTTTAATATGAGATAGACGAGTTAAGTTGGGATTTAAGGTGAAGTGCTTTAAGTGTCAGGCTGAGCAATCTGCAGTTTCATAGGTAGTGAGGCATGATTGGTTTCTTAGCAGGAAACACTGTGGTCAGAGCTGTGAGCCTGCAGGAATGTGGAGATGGATTGGAGATGGGGCAGTTGGCAGACTGTTGCCACAGCCCAGGAAAACCCAGAGCCTGAACCCAGTTGTGGAGAGTGGGCAAATATGAGAAAGAGCAGAGGGCTTGGGCTATACAGATCCTGGTGAGAGATTGACTTGTCTGGTCTGACGCCCAGAACAGGGAACTTAAGAGAGGAAGCTGGTGTTTGATTCTGACCAAACACTAAATCCAGAGCAGTCCTATTTCAGTGCTTTTAGAGCTCTTTCTCCTGACTCCTGGTGAGCACATTAAGAAAGATCAGCAGGGCCAGGTGCCCTAGGCGGAGCTGTGGAATAGCAAAGACTCTGCTTTGCAGTATCACAGTCTTGATTGCAGCTCTGATTCTGACATTTATAACTAAATGGCAAATCTTTTAATTTTTTGTAGCTTCAGTTTCCTTACTTATAAGACTGGTAAACCATTACCTTGACGAGGAAATTAAATAACAGCCATCAAGCCCTGCCCAGACCTGAGTTACCTAGAGGCTTCCTTAGGAACAGGGCTGGTAGGAGGGAGTCTAATTCATATGAATTTGGGGGTGGGTCGACTTGGGACAGAGAACACCATTTACCCCTGCTCTTTTAACTCTATCCTCGCTTTGCCTGCAGCACCCTCATCACATGTGTGGATTCTGGGATCCTTCGAGTCTGGCATGACAAGGACAAGGAGGCATCCTCTGACCCAGTGAGCCCCGCCCCCCCCAATCCTGATTCTGATGGTTGGGGAAGGTGGGGCCCAGGGTAGAGCCAATGAAGGCTTTAGGGGAGGAGGATTAAGGATCTGGAAGTGACTCATCTCCCCTCTCTCATTCTTTTCAGCTCCTGGAACTGAGGGTGGGCCCTGGGATATGTAGGATGCGCCAAGACCCAGCACGCCCCCACATCGTTGCCACTGGTGGGAAGGAGAATGCTCTGAAGGTGTGGGACCTGCAGGGATCTGAGGAGCCTTTGTTCAGGGCCAAGAACGTGAGTGATGGTGGGTGGAGAGGACCTGGGTCCCAATTCCCAGGAGTCAAGGCCACTGATGATGAATTGGAGACCGGCTGGGTTTTAGGGGATGATGATAGAGGGCAGAAGGAAGGGACACACTGAGCCCCTCCCAGCTCTGTTCCTCATCTACTGACCCCACCAGGTACGGAATGATTGGCTCAACCTGCGGGTTCCCATCTGGGACCAGGACATACAGTTCCTCCCAGAGTCACAGAGGCTCGTCACCTGTACAGGGTACCACCAGGTGAGGCACACATCTCACCCCTATCTTTTTCTGGGCTCACATAGCTTCCTGGAGAAACAGGAAGCTTGCTCTTTGCAGGCGTGGTCCCCACCATTTGGCACAGCCACACTTCTCGCCATCCTTCTGTCATCCCTGAGCTCCTAGAAGAAGGACCATTTCCCCCATCTGTTCCAGTTGAGTGGCTAAGCCAGTGACCTTCACTTACTACATTCTAGGAAGGAGTTGCCTGAACTGTGATTCTTCCTTTTCCTCCCACCTGGAAGAGAGAAGGGAATGTCCCCTTCATAGTAGAATCACATGGGGCCCATGTTATGAGAAGACATGGACTGGGTATCAAAAGAACTGGGTTCTGGTCCTGATGGCAGCCTCTCATTTGCTTTGGGACCCAAGCATGACCCTCTAGTAATATTATCTGTAATATCTAGTCTCCACTCCTCAGCTGTATAGGAAAAGCCCAACTGGGGATCTTTTCAGCTGGGTTTTTTTTTTTTTTTTTTGACCGCGCTGCATGGCAGTCATACCTCCCTGATCAGGGATCGAATCCGAAGTGGAAGCTCGGAGTCCTAACCATTGGACCACCAGGGAATTTGAAATCCTAAGACCTAGGCAGGACTGGGTGGGGCTACATTTGCCCTGCATCCTCTGCTTTGCAACTGAGGTCTGCTCTTGGTAATACAGTTCTCCTCAGAAAACATATGAGGGCTTCCTCTCTCCTTCGTGTCCAGGCTTAACTTCCTTCTCTGTTTGAGTTCAGCAACTCTGACAGTTGGGCCAGCTTACTCTTGCATCGTGAGAGGGGAGTATAGATGGAACGCTATACACACATGCAGACCATGGGGATGCTGCTGCTCCTAGCCTTGGAAACCTCTGTTCTCAGCTTTATACATTCATGTTCCTCAGCAGCTCTCCTCTACTCCTCAACACTCAGAAAAGAAGGGTGTATTTCAAATGAGAAAGTTTCTCTGAAAGAGTGGATTGTAAAAGCAGTGTACGGGGTAGGGGGGCTTCCCTGGTGGCTCCATGGTAAAGAATCTGCCTGCCAACGCAGGAGACTTGGGTTCAATTCCTGGGTTGGGAAGATCCCCTGAAGGAGGAAATGGCAACCCACTCCAGTATTCTTGCCTGGGAGATCCCATGGACAGAGAAACCTGGTGGGCTACAGTCCATGGGGTCACAGAAGAGTTGGAAACAACTTAGCGACTAAACAACAGATGAGGGGAAGTGAAGATGCAGAGGAGCCAGAGGGGCTACGCAGAGTAAAGGTACTATTGTGATGCCTCAGTCTTCTTCCAGGTCCGTGTCTATGATCCAGCCTCCCCTCAGCGCAGGCCAGTCCTTGAGGCCACCTACGGAGAGTACCCACTGACAGCCATGACCCTCACTCCTGAGGGAAAGTGAGTGTGTAGCGGGCACAGTGGGGCCTGGGGAGGACTCCAGGGGGCTCCTGCTGACCGACCCGTGTATGTCTGTCTGGTCTCCTCCTCAGTTCAGTGATTGTGGGGAATACTCATGGGCAGCTGGCAGAAATTGACCTTCGACAAGGTGAGTAGACCAGGGAGCCTTGCAGGGGGGCAGGAGTGGGGAGGAAGGGCAGGATTCCCCTCTGACAAGGGGCGGTGGGGCTGCTGAGCCCTCCTTCAGGTCCCAGAACCAGGTTCAGTCCCGGTTCTGCCAAAAGCTGTGTGACCTCGGACAGATTACTCTGTCAGTTCCCTATGCCTTAGTTTCTTCACCTGAAAAATGGAGATGTTAATGGTAACTGCCGTGTTAGCATTATGTTAAACGAGGATTAAATGTTGAAAGAAAGTGATTTGAACAGAAAACACTCAATAAATGATTGTTGGCTGACCAGTTAGCACTGATACCTGCCCCCTTTTCCCAGGGCGCCTGCTGAGCTGTCTAAAGGGACTGGCGGGCAGCGTCCGAGGGTTGCAGTGCCACCCTTCAAAGCCCCTACTAGCCTCCTGTGGTTTGGACAGAGTCTTGAGGATACACAGGATCCGGAATCCACGGGGCCTGGAGCATAAGGTGAGAAACCACTCATTCCTGCTCGTTGTGCCCTCCTCCCTCCCCCACTCTTGCTTCTGTTTCAGCAGACCTGGCCTCTTAAGGTCCCTTATCTCTTGCAGGTTTATCTCAAATCTCAATTGAACTGCCTTCTCCTGTCAGGCAGGGATAACTGGGAGGTAAGCCCTTGGGTCTGGGAATGTGGGAGCTAAGGGTACAGGTGTGAGGATCTCTCTGTGAAGAGGAAAGGGAAGCAGCTGGAACTTAGACCTGAGACTGTCCACCCACTTGCCAGGTATAGTCCTGACAGGGTCATTGCCAAGGGTAACACAGGAGCATGGATGAAGTGAAGTGAAAGTCACTCAGTCATGTGCGACTCTTTGTGACCCCATGGACTGTAGCCCACCAGGCTCCTCTGTCCATGGAATTCTCCAAGCCAGAATACTGGAGTGGGTAGCCATTCCCTTTTCCAGGGGATCTTCCTAACCCAGGGATTGAACCCAGGTCTCCCACATTGCAGGCAGATTCTTTCCCAGCTGAGCCACCAGGGAAGTCCAGGAGCATGGATGGGCATGGTATTTAGGAGCAGGAGACAAGGGGTGGTGCCTGGAGGAGTGATTCTCCTCCATGTGGGTTTGTTATTGTACCTGACTCCTGAGGGCTTCTCCTACTCAGCAGGATGAACCGCAAGAGCCTCAGGAGCCCAACAAGGTGCCCTCAGAAGACACAGAGACAGATGAACTTTGGGCCTCCTTGGAGGCAGCTGCCAAGCGGAAGCTCCCCAATTGGGAGCAGACCCAAGGCGCTCTCCAAGCCAGACGGAGAAAGAAGAAACGGCCTGGGTCCACCAGCTCCTGAAGAGCTTGTGCTCACTTTGTAAATAAACACCTTAAAAACGTACCATGACTTTGCCTTTTGTGATGGGAGAGTGGTGGCGGCTCCCTGAGCTGGGGTGGTGGGGGTATCTGACGTCACAAAAGCAGGGCCCGGAACCTGGCGGCTGGTGCGGGTGGCACCGAGTGCAGGGCCGCATGTGGGGCCATGGGCTGCTGCCAAGACAAGGACTTTCAGATTTCGGATGAGCAGGCCAAGGAGGCCGGGTCAGAAGGTGGGACCGAGACACACCGGGGTGCCCAGGGAGCTGGGAGTGGGGACTGGACCACCCGGAGGTTGGACTGGGGAAAGTAGAACTCAGCGGCCTCGCATCCTCGCAGGCACTGATGCGGACTCGGGGGAGCAACGGGATCGCAGGTCGAACGAAAGTCTTCTGATCACTGTGCTGTGGCGGCGGCTATCCATGTTCAGCCGTCGGGGTTCCGCTCGGTCAACCAGGAGGCAGACGGTCCAGAGTCAAAAGCGGGCGAGTAGGATCCAGGAGCGCGATCAGGAGATGATCCAGGAGGAGCCGGAGAAGGGGTGACTCCAGCCCTGTTCTCACTCCTCCCCAGCCTTCAGAGAATAAAGTTTCTAACGTGTACCTGCCTGAGCGTTTGTGCCTCGGCTTTCGGCACTTAGGGCGCGGGCACCACCAAGGTCGCGGGCTCTTTAAGTCTCCTTCCCTGAGGTTGGCCAGTCCCCTGGGCCCCCGACTTTAGTTCCTTGGGGGGCGGGGCCACAGGGGTATCCTAGCCAATGGGAAGGCGAGTTAACACATGCGTTTTGGTGGAGGGGCGTGTCTCTCGGGTCGCCGGGCTCTAAGAGGCGTGGTACCGCCTTCCTGTTACCGGGGGTGGGGTTACGTGTGGGTGACGTGGCGGCTTCCAGTCTTTGGTCGGGTTTCGGCGGCTTCGGCTCCAGGGGGAGGAGGTGGTGACGATCTGAGAGACTGTAGCAGTGGTGGCAGCGGCAGGAGGCAGAAAGGAGGTAGGACTCGGTAGGGTCTGGCTGCCGTGCCTGCTCTGGGCCGCTCTTTCCAGGGACGGCGCCGGGCGGGGGGAAGGGAACCAGGGACTAGCGGGCAAGTCCTGCCGGCCCGGCTCGGAGTGAGCGAATACCTCACCGTCCAATCAGAAAAGTCCCTTTAAGAAGGACGTCGGCGTTAGCTAATCAGTGTTTGCAGTCTTCCAGAAGGTGGGACTTGGGCGAGGGGAGGGTGGGACTTCCTGCTTCAAATAAACACCTAGAGATTTCCCCCCTCCGCCCACCGAAGTGTGTCCCTCTGAGGTGGTCCGTCCCCGTTTCTCCCTGAGGAGTCGGAGGAACCAGTGGATACGAGAGGGCCCAGTTAGGGCCTGGGGCAGTTGCACGGGACGGGCTGGAGCCTCAGGACCACAGGACCTGGCTCTGGCCCTGCCTCTTACTTCAGGGCCTCGGCCCGCGCTGTGGCCGCCGGAACCAAGTTGGAAGAAGAGTCTGAGGAGGGGGACGGCTTGGGCCGCAGGAGAAGCAGGATCTTGTCAGCTGCGGGTCGGTCCCAGGATCTACGGGTGGCTTCGGGCTCGAAACTCCGTGCCAAGTGCAGAGGGGCCCCGAAGAACTGCTGGTTGGGGCGGGGGATTGGTGGAGAAGGAGGCTGCCTGGGGAATGACACTCTCCCCTCCACCACAGTCCGAGGTTATGCGTCTCAATGATCCCGCGGAAACGCTACGGATCTAAGAACACGGATCAGGGTGTCTACCTGGGTCTCTCAAAGACACAGGTCCTGTCCCCTGCAACTGCTGGCAGTAGCAGCAGCGACATCGCCCCTCTGCCCCCCCCAGTGGCCCTGGTCCCTCCCCCTCCCGACACCATGTCCTGCCGGGATCGGACCCAGGAGTTCCTGTCAGCCTGCAAGTCCCTGCAGAGCCGTCAGGTAAGGACCTGGACTGGGAGAGGCAGAGTGAGTCTTACTCAAACCTGGGAGAGGAGGTGCTCCAGCACCGTTGATTGAAGTAATTCTTGGGGGAGCCTGATGGAGACCTGGTCCAGCTTGGGATGGTAGGATCTAACAAGCAAAGAAAGGGTGGGCTAGCTAATCTAGAGGCAAGGATCCAGACTTTGTTGATGTTTTGTTTAATCAGGAATCTAGGGTTGCTATTCTGGAACGAATATCTCAGGGCGAGAAATGATTACAGTATATTTGGTTTGGATAAGGAACAGGTTCTAGAAAGAGCCTTTATTTAGTTCAGAGACAAATGCTTTAAATTCTCATTCCAGTATAATTCTACCAAGTTTGCTTCATGACAACATGGAAGTTAAACTAGTTGGACCTCAGTTTTTATATCTGTAAAATGAAAGAAACTTTCCAAATAAAGTAATTTTAATAAAAGTCACTTGGGAGTGCTTTTTAAAAAAATTAGATTGCTTTGTTTTGTTCCAGACTTTCTGAATCCAAGTGGAAACTGAGTAATTGTGATTTTAAATATTTTTACTACTCAGTTGTTTAAACTGCTCTTCTATATCATCTCCAAGAGCTTCCTGTTTATCCTCTCAATTCCCCGGTTGGAGGAATGGAATGATAATACTAGTTACCATTTATTTAGTGCTTATCATGGACCTGATATTTGGCTAAAATAATTTATAACCCTTATGTTTTTTAACCTTAGCAACAACAAAAGGGGATGTGTAGAATTGTCTCCATTTTACATATAAGGAAACAGATTCAGAGTGGTTCAAGTCACTTGTCCCCAGACAAGTGCCACTTACTAGTGGTGGCATCAGGTTTTGTGTGGCCTGGCCAGTAGAGGATGCCACTGGCACTAGAGGGCGAGTTTAGAGGATTCCTGGGGAATCGTGAAATCTGGCAGTGGGAAGGAAAAACTAAAGTTTTACTTTTTGACATTGCCTTTCAGAATGGAATCCAGACAAACAAGCCAGCTCTGCGTGCTGTCCGGCAGCGCAGTGAATTTACCCTCATGGCCAAGTGAGTTGGGAGAAGTTATGTGGTGGGTTGGCCAGTGTCTGAGGAGAGGTAGTCTTGCCTCTGGTGACCTTGGTGGCGAGGACTGGAATTGGTGGTGCTGGTGCTAAGGTGGGCAAGGCCCTCTCCTTCCCTTCCACAGTGTTCTCACTTGTGCTCATTTGCAGGCGCATTGGGAAAGACCTCAGCAATACATTTGCCAAGCTGGAGAAGCTGACAATCTGTGAGTGTTCCTGGACCTTTCGGAGCTGGGGCAGTGAACGCCGGAGGGCTGAGGAACCATACTGTCTTGAGTCTGGTCTCCGACCTCACCTGTGGTGGCTTCTTGTTTGTCTCTGCAGTGGCAAAGCGCAAGTCCCTCTTTGATGATAAGGCAGTGGAAATTGAGGAGCTAACTTATATCATCAAACAGGTGAGTGACTAGCAGTCAGGTGAGTCCGGCATTCCAGTTGGATCACTTCCATCTTTTTCCCTGGCTCTAGAGTCTCAAAGCAAGTTTCTCAAGCCAACTCCAAACATCCTACTCCTCCGTTGTGTCAGTGGTCATCTACCACATACAAGGCACTATGCTGGACACTTGCCACAGAAGCATTATGAGGCAGATACCAGCCTTTAAGGGCTTATTGTCTGGAAGAGACATCCAGTCCCATAAACTCACGCTTACAATGAATAGGCAGCTAGTGGCACAGAAAAGATTGTACAAAAAGATGAATGAGATTCTGGGTACACTGGGAAATATTTTATCGAGGAGGTGAAAACTGAGCTGGTTTCGAGGCTTGTGGAGAGGTAACAGAAGAACATTTGAGACAGAGGAAACAGTGTGCAGAGGCATGTCTCATAAAAGGGAAAAGTTCAAGTCTTTGCTCAGATGTCATGTGCTCAGGGAGGCCTACCTTGCTGTTTAATACCCCAGCCCCCCCAACTCTGATCTCCCTTAGCTTGCTCTATTTTCTTGTTTATAGCACTTGATACATTCTGAAAGTCTCTATAAAACTTGTGTCTGTTGTTGTTTCCTCCCACTTACCTCATCCACATCAAGAAGAAAGAAAATAACAAATGGGAATACCACAAGAGCAGGAATTTTTCTTTCTCTTTGTTCACGGATGTATCCCAGACACCTGTGACAGTGTCTGGCGTGTAGTGCTCAATTGTTCAGTCGTGTCTGACTCCTTGCAACTACATGAACTGTAGCCCACCAGGCTCCTCTGTCCATGGAATTCTTCAGGCAAGAATACTGGAGCGGGTTGCCATTTCCTACTCTAGGGCATCTTCCCGACCCAGGGATCGAACCCGTGTCTCTTGTGTTTCCTGCATTGGCAGGCAGATTCTTTCCCACTGCACCACCTGAGAATCCCCCGGCATGTATTCGTTGCTCAGTACTTGTTGATCATGGCAGCAGATGAGGCTGAAAAGGTAGACTGGTAGCTGGTTGTAAAGATCATCGTGGGGCTTGCAAAGGACTGTAGAATCATTCTGAATGTGTGGGCTGCAAAGACGATTAGAACCTGGATTCCAGTTCTGTCTGCAAGACAATGGTATAGCAGCTCTAACGATATGATTTGTGTCTTTCCCAGAATAATGTAATAAGGATAACATGAGAAATTGAATGTCCGTGGGAGGAGGAAAAACACCCTGGAGCATGAATGGGCAGAGAGGTGAGGGTAGAGGCTTGTGCAGTTGTCCGGTATGAAGATGATTATGGCAGAGGCCAAAGGGCAGACACATTGAAGAGATGCTATGCTGAATGGGAGAGGGTTCCATTAACTATTGGGGTGTTATTACTCTTTTTTAAATATTTATGTGTTTGGCTGCATTGGATTTTAGTTATGACACGTGGAACCATCACTGCATCATGGGGGATCTTTCCTCTCAGTGCACTGATTCTCTAGTTATGGTGTGTGTGCTCAGTAGTTGCGGCATTTTGGCTTAGTTGCTTCAGACCATTTGGGATCTTTGTTTGTTAACCAAGGATTGAACCCAAGTCCCCTGCTTTGCAAGGCAGATTCTTAACCACTGGACTACCAGGGAAGTCCCTGTTGGAGCATTATTGCATAGGTAACCACTGACTGGATTGAGATAGACTTCAAATCCCAGGCTCACCACTTATGATGTTGGTAAGCTACCTTATCCTGGAAAAGGAAGGGGAAAGATCCCCTAGAGAAGGAAATGGCAATCCACTCCAGTATTCTTGCCTGGGAAGTCACATGGATGGGGGAGCCTGGAGGCTACACCCCTTTTAAAGAAAAAGGTGGTGATAACAGTACACACCTTGCAGGGTTGTTATGAGGCTTCATTGGTTTGTTTTTTCCATCCCTCACATTACTGAGTGACTTTTGGCTGCCTGGTTCTGGGGATTCAACAACAAAGAAGACTCATGTGGTCCCTGTCTTTGGGAACTTCTTTCCAAGTGGGTGAACCAAACAGTGCATGCTGCTGCTGCTGCTAAGTTGCTTCAGTCGTGTCTGACTCTATGTGACCCCATAGATGGCAGCCCACCAGACTCCCACCACCCCTGGGATTCTCCAGGCAAGAACACTGGAGTGGGTTGCCATCTCCTTCTCCAATGCATGAAAGTGAAAAGTGAAAGTGAAGTTGCTCAGTCATGTCTGACTCTTAGCGACCCCTGGACTGTAGCCT